CTAAGCTTTCTAAAGGTTCCCATGGTGACACTGTACAGCACCTCACTAGAAATTGCTGTATTCAGTGTTGAATATCTTTAGATTCTCCAACTTTTTGAAAGCATTTTAATCCTATAAAGGTGCTCAATTTTAGATTCCCATATTTAATTCCATCCTCTAGACCACAACAATACAATACCTATTATGGGGCTCTCTTTAAACACCTACACCCATTTCTAGTTGTCTTGGTAGGTTGTATTCTGAGAGCTGCACCCACTGGGTGTTATAACAAACCTCCAGATGGTCTATTCTTTTGTTTAGTGAGAGCTTTAAAGTAGAATTTGAAAAAAAGCCTGTGGGCACATATAAAAATTCACATTTATTAAACTTTGATTATGGGCCAGACACTGTACCAAAATGCTTAATTCTCACGACAGCCTTTAGTAATAGGCATGAGTAAACTGACACTTAGAGTTTTGGATTAAGTAATTGCCCAAGTTATATAATTTGTAAGTGGTAGAACCAGGGTCTAAAACCATCTGTCTAAATTCAAAGCTGAGCTCTCACCTTCTCAATAAGAAGAAACATCCTTCTTACTGCATTGAAAAAATATAGTTTGTTAGTAGATAGGTTGCCTTTTTCAAGGCTGTAACAAACAATGAAGAAATTTTCTTTTATAAAATGGGTTCAGCACTGAAATACTGATTCCAAAACAGTAGAGGTTAATCTTTCCATGGGTCAGAAACTAAGAAGAGAAAAAGGAAGTTCGTCCTCTTTTCTTTGTTCTCTTTCTCAACATCACATAAGAATTTTTCCCATAGAACTCGGAGCAGTAAGAGCAGAGGGTAGAAGAAGTAAGAGAAGTTAAAGTTATTGAATTGCCATCACTCACTGTGCCAGGTTCTGAGTCACAGTGAGGACGAGGACTGCCGTCGAGTGACTAAGAGACAACGAATCACTTAACCTGTGCTTCTGTTTCCTCAGCAAAATGAGGGCTCCCTTATTGACCTGACTCACTTGACCGATGATTGTGAGGATCAAATGCAATAGCACGTGACCTCACAGGAAGAGTTCCTCAGAAAACACAGCGTGAGGAAAAACTCCACAGATGACCACTTGATTAGGGCCTATGATCCCAGGATGCAAAAACGAGACTAACCTGATGCAGAAAAAGAATTCCTATGGGTTGAATTCTGTTTCCCTAAAAATACATTGTAATGTTAACCTCAATACCTCAGAACATGACCTGATTTGAAAACAGGATCATTGGCAGATGTTATTAGTTAAGGACCATCATATTTGTGGGCCCTTAATCCAATATGACTCATGTCCTTACAAGAAAACAGGCAGATGCCCAGGGAGAAAGACACCTGAAGATGGAGAGTGAGATTGGAGTAATGCATCCTACCAAAGAAACTTCAGAGAGAGCATGGCCCTGTCAACACCTTGATTTCAGACTTCTAGCCTTTATAATTATGAGAAAATCAGTTTCTGTTGTTTTATGCCACCTGTTTGTGGTACTTAGTTATGGCAGTACTTCTAGGAAATTCATATGGGAGAGAGTCTATAGCAAATAGCTTATCAAGCCAGCTGCCGCTAAGTGCATGGGATTGTCCTCCAATAAGCAACATAAGCCTCATTTCAGGACAATCTGGCCAAGATAAGAAAGGGTGAAAAGTTTAACCACCATCCCTATATCTCGATAGTCAAGGGTTTGCCTCAAGTGGTGTTAACTGCTATACATTCCTGGTCGTGCATGTCTAAGTTATGTCTGGTGATATGCTGTGCCTTGATGTTAACCTGGAAACCCAGCAGTGGAACCAAGAGGCTCAGAACAGGCATGAGGTAAGGCTGCACTGTGGAAAGTCTGTCAGATTCCATTCATAGCTTCTTGAAGTAGCGCCAACTGAAACAGAGCAGGTGAGGCTTTGAGGATCTAAAGAGGACATTTAGAAGTGCCCTGATACACACAATGACCTAGCATTTTAAGGGGTAGGACAAGGAAACACATTGTGAGGGAATTTAACTTAATCTGTGGGGCAGGCATGCTTAAGCTGAAGACCCCAAAAGATGAACAGCTTGGTTCCCTTGGGAAAGTCCTTATACATCAAAACTTCAAAATATTTCCTGATTCATCCAAATTTTTCTCTCTCGATTTAATATAAAAAAAAAAAAAATCTTTTTTAAATGTTTTTTTTCAAGTCACTGTCTCCTTTTTTTTCCAAAATGGAAATGACTTCATTGTTTTATAAAGTTCTAAGAGTAAGACTTGCTTCATTAAAAATGTTTTAATGGTATTGATGAACATAAATAGGAAAAAATAGTACTCATAACCCCACCTTCTCAAAGAAAATATAAAGGTCAAGATAGCCTGTGGTATGCTACAATAGCAGAAAAGAAAAATCCTAACATCTTTAGTGGTTCAAAACCGTAAAGTTTTGTTTTCTCACTTATGCTATGTATCTAATGTAGGTGATCGAGGGAGTTTTATATTATCCTCATGTAGGGCCCTAAGAGAACCACACTGTCATCACCAGAGATGATGTTAGTTGCGATGGAAGAGTGAGGGAAGCATGATGGATCACATACTGGCTCTTAAAGTCGTCCCTTTGGAAGACTTAAAACACATCACTTCATTTCATTGGCCAAAGCAAGTCACATGGCCATGACTAACACCAAGAGCATGGAGAGAAGCCTAATTCCAGAAGGAGGAGAACCAGAACTGTTGGTGAATTGCACTACAACTGCCATAGATAACATTATTTATGTCAACGGATTTGAAGTTTGGGGCTTATTTGTATATTGATTTGTTTTCACCGACTTTAGTGGAAGGGAGGAATGAGAAAATAACAAATGGTAAAAGAAAAAAACACATCGGGGCAATGAAAAATCATGTACTTTCTGCGGATTTCTTTAATTCATACTAGTTCATGTATACTTTTTCAAATTGATGAATATATTGGTCTTGTAGCGACCTAGTGATTTTGACAGCAATCACTATATTTAAATACTCCATGGGTTTCTCTCTTTCTCTCTCTCTCTCCATTTTAGTGTGAATGACATTTTCGTTGTTGGCCCAGAACAGTTCTATGCCACCAGAGACCACTATTTTGCCAACCACTTCTTGACACTACTAGAGATGTTAATGGACTTTCGCTGGTCTCATGTTCTTTTCTATAGTCCAAAAGAGGTCAAAGTGGTGGCCAAAGGGTTTAATTCTGCCAATGGGATCACAATCTCACCAGATAAGAAGTAAGCAAGCTCTTTTATAATTTTCTACCCTTCACCCCTGGCATATTAGTGGACTCCTTCCCTTAAGAGGTGGTTACTTCCTTGGGCTTAAGTAGTCAGTATATATGTGGAGTGATCAGGCATGGCCAGGGTTTATACTAAATGTGTGATCTTAAGCAAACCATTTGCCCTCTTGCACTTCAGGCTCCCCCCAGTGAAATAAGGGATTTGGACTCATGGATATGAAGTCTTTATTCCAAATTCTTATGTGACTCTAGAAACACACTTATCTAACACACTAAAAATAATAAATACATAATTACTCTGGTTTTTATGAGGCTAGAAGGTCTTTAACCACTTATACTAAGTTCAGTTACCCAAAAGTTCTTATTAGAGAGGGAGGCCCAAATTAGATAAGGCACTATGATTGTATAAGTTTCAGACTTACTGATATACTATATCAGGCTTTTCTATGAGAAAACGCTATTTTACGCAGCATGAAATTTTAGAGGAAGTGCTCTTTTAAAGTATTTGAAAATAGTTTTTAAGTACCATAAATATTAATATATAAATTTGAGATAATAAATAGAGGTGATCCCCATGGAAAACAACTCTAAGTATTCTTTCTCTTTTTAAAAATGATTGTGATTCAGCTTCATGGTCACCTGATTCTTATTTTCAAGGACTAGTTTTTGGAACCATAGACTTTTTTTGGCTTTATAAGAGGTCCATTTACCTCCATTCAATTTAAAGACTAAATCATGAACTCCTAAGTAATGAGATTGAGCCTATATGTCATCTAGAAACACCAATTTTATTACTCTATAGTCATATCTCATATTCAAAGCTTATTTAAAGCACTTAAAGAATATTAAAAATATCACTTTATTATCTTCTTTTACTGTGGTTTAGAAAGGCATTGCAGTGGTACTTTGAACTATTGTGAATTTTTATACCTCTTCTCCAAAATAAAATTTAGTGTCATCCCTAAAAGCTACTTGTTTAAATGTAAATGTGATTTACTTCAAAGGTATATCTACATAGCCGATGTAACAGATAAGAGCATCTGTGTAATGAAAATACATGATAACTGGAATTTAACTCAACTGAAGGTAAAAGTACCCTAGCTTGCTCACACAACACGGCCTCTTACATTAGCTCCTCAACTTAACCTAAGAATATGCTCCTTGAATGAAGGAAACATGGCTTTTTTTTTTTTTTTAAGATGTTGGTGAGAGTGTGCTCACATGTCTAATATTTAGAAGCAAAGTGCCCCTTAAAAATACCAATTTCGGGAGCCAGAAGGAACTGGTAGGAGAGAAGAGGGTAGGGGAGAAAGCCAAAACAACGTTTTCACTACTTCCTCTTTGTTGGAAGGTAATACATTTGGACACTTTGGTGGATAACTTAACTGTCGATCCTGACACTGGAGATGTTTGGGCAGGATGCCATCCTAACGGCTGGAAGGTACTATTCTATAACCCTAAGGATCCGCCAGGGTCAGAAGTAAGTTCCTACTTCTCTTAGCTCACAGACAAAGCTGTTAAAACAAACAATTTGTTAAAGTGACTTGGAAAAATTTAGTGGGTCACATGTGATGTTCCAGAACTGAACACATTGTACGTATGAAAAGAGTAGAGCTTTTTGTCAGGATGAGGAGACATGGCCCATTAATACTTTCAGGTTACTGGGTGTCAATTTTTAAAAATTTATTTACTTTTTTGATTGGGGTGACATTGGTTAATAAAGTTATATAGATTGCAATTCTATAATACCTGTATAATTGTACAATTCTATAATACATCATCTGTATATTGCATTATGTGTTCACCACCCAAAGTCAAATCTATCTCCTTCTGTAACCATATATTTGACCTCCTTTACCCTTTTCTATTTACCTACTCCCCTCTTTTCCTCTAGGAACCACTATACTGTTGTCTGTGTCTATGAGTTTTTGTTTGGCTTGTTCGTTTGTTGCTTTCAGTTTTATAGCCCACATATGAGTGAAATCATATGGTTCTTGACATTTCCATCTGACTTATTTCACTTAGCATAATATTCTCAAGATATCTATGTTGTCACAAATGGCAGTATTTCATTTTTTCTTATGGCTAAGTAGCATTCTATAGTATATATGTACCACACTTTTATCCAATCATCTATCGAAGGACACTTTGGTTGTTTCCATGTCTTGGCCACTGAGAATAATGATGCAATGACATAGGAGTACATATATCTTCATGGATATGTTTTCAAAGTTTTTGAGTAGATACCCAGAAGAGGGATTGCTGGGTCATGTGGTAATTCTATTCTTAATTTTTTGAGGACCCTCTGTAGTGTCTGTACCAATTTACTTTCCCACCAGCAGTGTATGAGGGTTCTTTTTTCCCCACAACCTCTTCAACACTTGTTATTACTGCTTTTGTTGATAACAGCTATTCTAATATGTGTGAGGTGGTATCTCACTATGTTTTAGATTGGCATTTCCCTAATAGCTGGTGAACTTGAGCATCTTTTCATATATTTGTTGGCTGTTTGTAAGTCTTTGTGAGAGAAGTGTCTGTTCAGGTCCTCTGCCCACTTTTTAATTGGATTGTTTGTCTTTTTCTTGTTAAATTGTATGAGTTCTTTATGTATTTTGAATTTTAGCCCCTTATCAGAGGTGTTGTTTGTAAATATCTTCTCCCATTCAGTTGGTTGCCTCCTTGTTTTATTTATGGTTTCTTTTGCTGTGTAGAGGCTTTTTAGTTTAATTTAGTCCCATTTATTTATTTTGCTTTTACTTCCCTTGCCTTTATAAAATCCTCTCTAAGACCAAGGTCCGTAAGTTTAGTACCTATATTTTCTTCTATGCATTTTTTATTATTTCAGGTCTTATATTTAGGTCTTTGAGCCATTTTGAGTTAATTTTTGTTTATAGTGACAAATAGCAGTCTAGTTTCATTCTTTTGCAGGTTTCCTTACCAGGTGCCAATTTAACATCAGTGCTAAACAATGTGTCCCATCCTTTCAAGGGCTATACTTGCCTCTGGGAATAATGGGAAAATATGAGCTTAATTATTCATTTTGACCCAGATTGCCATACCATATTCTCAGTCAGGATGTAGGCTAGGAGCAGGCTTTGATGTTAGGCAAAGGGAGTCATATATGAAACCATCTTCTATCACTGTACCCAACATGAAATTCAGATAAAAGAGTTTAAATATCTCTAGTCTCAAAACAAAATTAATTTTTGCCACTAGGTTCAAATATATATGATAGTGTTAAAGAATGTCATATTTTAAAAATGTTATTGTCTTTAAAATCTCTTCTAAAACAATAACATACACCATTGAATTTTATATGGCATTAAAAACAATAATATAAATCATTGCATTTTCTATAGCATTGAATTTGAGAATAAAAAAATCTCAAGTAAATTTAAATATAGATATAAATTCTTGGCAGACATCCTCTGAGAGATTTATTCACAAAAAGTTATTAAGCACTTATAATATATAGACTTTGTTTTCGTGCTTAAGATATATCAGAAAACAGAGTATGTAAATTCTATGGGGGAAATTCTATGAGGGAAAAATGTATAATAAAATAAACGGGATCAGGATTGCTGTGAACAGGGGGATGGACAGGTCCTATTATTAAGTACAGAGATCAGGGTAAATCTCATTGAGAGGGTAAGTTTTAAAGAAAGATATAATGTTAGAATCTAGGTTTGGAAAGTTGGGAAATTGAGATTCAAATCCTAGCCTGGTAATTGGCCTAGAGGGTAATTAGAACATACAGTTATTTCTGCTTCCAGTATTGCAGTTCTTCAGTTTTAAAAAAATTATTTATCTTATTAACATATTAGTCACTTCTTTAAAAAAAAAGCAAGAAATAAACAAGTAAAAGTCCAGCCTGAAACCTAGAACCTAAAGAATTGTTATCCCTTGCTAGCAAGCTACCCTTTCTCAGATACGTGTCCCCAAAAGTGACACATGCAACTATTCTGCAAATGCCCAACAAAGATGCTTGCTTAAAGAGAATAAAAATACAGTCTATATGATGATTTGAAAATTGTTTAGGATTTTTTTCATGCCTCTATTTTCAAATTTAATAATTTATTTTAGATAAGATTTCTTTCTTCACAGTCACTGACACCCTTTCCTTTGAGTTGAGGGTAATATTTTCTACATGAGTTCCAAGCTTGGCAATTTTCATGTAACAACCTGAGATAAAGCTGTAGGGTCTTCTTTAAGATAAAAAGCCAAAACTCAACTGAACGCTAATTGGAGAGGTCAATATTGACTCATAACTTATGAATTTCTAATTGGTTTTCTTTAATTCCTATCATGTTCTGTTTGAGTGAACTCCATTCAGGCTATTTGGGAACTGCATACTTATATATTAACTGATTAGCAAACTAAATAAACTGTGTTAACCCTGGAGATCAATAATAGTACAAAGCAGTGGTGTGTCAAGGTGAATTCCAAAGTATGCATTCTTTATGCTTCCTAGCCACTTCTCAGATGTGAGAGGGCTCCAGGTGTGATGACTACTATCCTACTGGTTATGAGGTGGGATTGGCTTGCTACTGCGTGTCTTCTTTTCATTTCTTCCCGTGTTTCTCTTCCTGTTCTATAGGCCCCAAGCACAGAGAGGCGAAACCCTTTGCTATAGGCAAAACCTTCGCCTGTTTGCTCCAGAATTAGATAAGCATATCCACTGGTTCCCACCTCCCTCTATAGGAGATGTCTGAACTATCAACGTTGTGTAAACTATCTATTGAGGGATATGGCTAATGTCAGATAACTAATCAAATTGACTGCACAGATATCATTAGGACATTAATACTTCTATCAGAAGAAGGAAAAATGATTGAAGATACATAAATTTTGGCTTGTTGATTTCTGAGAAATACATTAGTCCTGGAGTATATAGGAAGGAAAAAGTCAGCGATGGCTATTTACTCATTTAGTTTACTAACAGTTCATCTTTTCTTGACAGGTACTTCACATCCAGGATGTTCTATCTGAGAAGCCCAGGATAAACACTATATATGCCAATAATGGCTCTGTGCTTCAGGGCAGCTCTGTGGCTACTGTGTACAACAGGAAACTTCTCATAGGCACCGTATTTCACAAAGCTCTGTACTGTGAGCTCTGAATATCCAGATGCCAGATATTCCAAAATGTCTACATGTTTGGTAAAAGTAAACCTCTAATTCTATGATAAATGGAACTGTAAGTAAATGATGAATATCAACAAAAGTGTGCCTGGCTTTCCTTATGGTTAGAAGTAAAGGAGCTGAGAGATTATATAATATCCACCAAATTGCAGGTCAAAATAGTGACAGTACAACAAGAAGCCAAACCTGTCGACTCTTTTTGTCTACCCACCTTTCCACAAAAAGACGTGTGGTGAGTGAGGTATTTAGTACACCTACGGCTCCTTGATGACCGTATGGCAAAATCACCTCCTACAACTGTGTCATGTTCTGAGCCTCCTGCCATCCAGACCAGGAGAAAAGCTAATGTCCAGATATTTACAATTCCCCTTCTCTTCCTCCAACTGTGTTAGGCACTGATAATCAAATGCTCAGCCCATTGGAATTGGAATTATGAGACTGCCCAAAGCCCTCCTCAAACTTGCATTCTTTCCAGAACAGACACACAGGGAAGTCTGACAGAGACTGGCCTCACTTAGGGCAAACAGGGCTGATCTCTTCCTCTGTAATCTATCTTTATTTGTAGAGGAGTCCCCTCTTACTCATGGTTTCGCTTTCCATGGGTTCAGTTGCTCATGGTCAATCACAGTCCAAAAATATCAAATGGGAAATTTTAGAAATAAACAAAAGTTTTAAATTGCGTGCCATTTTGAGTAGTGTGATAAACTCCTGAGCCATCCATTCCTTGCTACCTGGAATGTGAATCATTCCTTTGTCCACTGTATCCATACTGTCTGTATATGCTACCCTCTCATTAATCACTTAGTAGCTGTCTGGGTTATCAAATTGACTGTCACGGTATCACAGTGCTTGTGTTTAAGTTACTCTTATTTTACTTCATAATGACCCCGAAGCCATTCACATACTTTTATTACAGTGTATTGTTACAATTTTTCTATTTTATTATTAGTTATTGTTTTTAATTTCTTACTATATCTAATTTATAAATTAAACTTTACCATAGGTATGTATGTATAGGAAAAAACATAATATATATAGGGTTCGGTTCTATCCGGTTTTAGGCATCCACTAGAGTCTTGGAACATTTACCACAGATTAAAGGAGTCTACTGTAGTGATATCTGTATTTGAAGTATTGTAATCAGCTTGGCTCTGAAACACGAGATGGAGCCTCAGGACTATTACTTTTGATGGTTTTAAACTTGCTCTTCTGGTTAATTCCATGAACACTTATTAAACAGTGTTTCGTAGACTTGTCCCTATGGATTCAGAAATGTATAATATGGTTCTGGCTAGAAGACCATCTCAAACTTGATTTGATGAGAACAAATAGAAATGTCCCTTTCTTGGTCAAAAACCAGGATAGCCTTTAGCAAATCATTAATGGGAATCAGCATAGCCAAGGATTCCACCCACTTCTCTTTTTGTGACTTTTATTGGGAAGTGGTTGGTTGATTTTTTTTTTTTCTCTTCTGGGGATGGAGAGTTGGGGAGACCTTTTTAATTCCTAAAGAACGTTGCTCAGTTAGAAATGACTCAGCAGAATGTTATAATCAAGTCTCAGATTTTAAGTTTCAAATGCCTAACCATCAGGTGGACACTGAAAAAAATAACAACTAAGCATGTAAACAGTTTTGAAAAATATAATAGTTTTTTTCCCTATCCCTAAACTTTATACCCACTACATTAGATAAAGTTTACCATATCTAGGGGAACACAGAGAGTCAAAGATGGGAAATCTAAGGGCATTTAGATGCTGGTGGGTTCCTGAGAATTGGCCCTGCCCTGCCTTCTCTCCAGGCCAAATTAAGAAAGGTTCTATGTTAAAAACCCCCAGAGAGATTAGGAAGATCTGATTGCTGAGGGACTGATGTGCCCTTTCATAGGGAGAGCCTATGAAAGTCACAAGGCTCTGGGGTTCCCCTTCATGTAGGCATTCCCCATCTTCCTGTGATTATCTTGTGCTTTTTCCTTCACTTAGCTTGGGAAGGAGAGGGATTGCCCCTCACAATAAATGCTGCATTTTGATGATTCATTGTCTTCTCTTCCCCAGAAGAGATGTGGGTGGGGATACTAAGGTGATGATTAGTGGTATTGACATCAGGAAAAAAAAACAAAGATAAGAACAAAAACCAATATGGTAGACAGCTACGATGATCTTACTTCCTGGTATTCATTCCCTCGTATAGCTCCCTTTCACATAAATATGGCTGACTTGTATAATCAATAGGGTATTCTAGAAATGATGATGTGTGACTGCCAAGACTAGGTTATATAAAAACATTGCCATTTCTACATTGCTCGCAAAAACTGCATCATGATAAAAAGTTTCTGATTGTTTTAAGATGCTAAGTTGTGGGGTCATCTGTTATGATAATTAGTGAACTAATGAAACAGCAAACCATATATAATGTAGAGATACAACAAAAGCCAAAAGTTCATTTTTTAAAAGAGATTAATAAAAAGTAATATATATCCTGTAAAACTTATCAATAAAAATAACAGCTCAGTTATTCAATATCGGAAATGAAAAATAAGACATGCAGATGTTGTGGACATTAGAGAGATAAAAAGTGGAGTTGATGAACCACTTTATACCAAGAAATTTGAAATTTTGATGAAAAGAACAAACTCCTAGAAAAAAATATAATACTATTAATTAGAGTAAGGCTAAACTATTCTAATATAAAGTACAAAAAATACAATGCCTCAAAAAGAAATGTTTATTCCTCTTTCATTTTTCAGTTCTCGAGGGAGTGAATGATGGGCAGCCTCCCTTGATGGCGCCATGTAGACCAGTGGTCAGGATCTTATAAGAAACAGAAGGGATCTTACACTCAAACAGGGCTTTCGAGGGAAGTTCTTTAAGGGACTGACAAAGGGTGGGGAGGTTAAGGGAAACTTAACAAGACACAGTCCAACACTCCAGTGCTAGCAATGGAGTGGAAGAGATGGTCAGTTCAGGGACTCTTCTACAGTTCAGGGACTCTTCTGAACTGTAGGTTTGAAAGAACAAGGGGTGGAAGGAGTTACTACAACCGGAAGAGAGTAGAGAAAGCAGACACTCTTCCAATAGCTGCTGTGGTCACTGGTAAAGGAAGCAGCCAACCTGTGACAACCCAGCAGAGAGAACAGATGGTATAAATACCTGACTTAACTCCCCTTCTACTCTCCCACTAGAAGTCAGAAGACAAGGGAGCTGTTATGGGAGTCCACAAAGCCTTCAGGACAGTTGTATCGAGTGGATCCTGAGCAGCAAACAGCTTCATCATGTTGCTGCACCATTGTTTCAATGGCTGTAGTTATCTGAATGCTGGATCTGAATGCTGGAAGCTAGGTCACCACCATGTCTGTGTTTCATCAAACTGGAAGGAGATAGAGGATAGAGGACGCCAAAGAGAAATACTCAATGTCTTAAGGCCCAGGGCCAGAAATGGTGGTCATTTTTTTTGCTCACTTACCAGTGGTAAAAATTAAACACAAGGCTGCATCTAACTAACTGCAAGGAAAAATGGGTGATGTAATATCACTGGAGAGACCTGTGTTCAAGGACAAAGAAAAGATAAATTTTAGTGAAGAATCAGCAATCTGTGCCACAGTTTTTACTCTTTGGCCAGTAAATATTTATCCGAACCCTTTTCTTACACAATGACTCCCTTATCAGGGAATATAACAAAAAGTTCCATCCAATTTCTGCATTCAGCTCAAAGCACAGGATCTGTGGGTGATGATTTGACCTTTGCATTAGGTCCAGATATGGCTGCATATGGCAGCCTAGAAAATAAAAGTATTGCGACCGCAACATATCCAATTACGATGGTTGAGTATGAGCAGAATAATTATAATAAACATCCATAGAAAAAGAAAGGAAGAACAGAATACACTCAGCAGCGGCTGGTCCATTGTAATGAAATTATTCCACCAGACAGGAATCGAGAGGTTTTCCTGTCTTGGCAGTGGTGTACTTCCCCATGTCCTCTATGATTCCAAATTTTGGAGGAATTCTACCTAGTGCACCATGCTTTAAGGCCACATCTGACATAGGTCTTGGAAAGACTATGCAATTTTGGTAGCCTCCTTCCTACAGGTGTAGGTTTGAGAGTCTGAGGACATTTTTAGGGCAGGCTCTTGGTTGCTTTTGAAATGTAAGTATCTTAGAAATTTGATAGGGTTCTGTGTCTGTTTGTTTCCAGTCAATGCTGTGTGCCAGCAATAACACTTGGTTTTCCTTTTGGAGCATAGTTTTTAAGCCTATTTTACTTCCAGATTTCCCTGTTTACAAATTTCTCTCTCCAATTTAAATGCTATCTCCTTTGTGGCCAACTGAATGAATGGAGGAAAGGAGGCATCACCATTACTATAATCCCCCACAGTGCTGGATCCCTGGGCTTTCCTTAGTGGGAGACATTTCAAAAGGCTATCAGCTGTAGCAATCTTCCTGCTCTTGCAGCACAAAACCAAATTTCTAGACCTTCTCTATAGCCTTCTGCTTTATGACCGATAGTTCTTACTTAAGAACATAATTTTCCTACTGTCCTCTGGAAAGCATCAAGGAACAATGAAGACACACCAACATTCTGTTTGCTCTCTGGGTAAATGGCCAACCTTTCAAGTTACTGCAGGAAATGGTTTTATTAAATATTTTTGGGATGACATTACAAGGATCTCCAGCTTTTTAGCCTGCAATATCTGTTTCCTTAACTCTAGTCTAACTGTATATTTAATGTTATTTTTAGAATCCCCACATCTAGGTTCAAATTCCTATATTTCTAAGGTCATGCTAAGTGGTTGTAATAGGTAACCCCAAATATAGTGGCTTAAAGAATACAGACATTGCTGAAAGGTAGTAAATCACAGTGGGTAAGAGCACCAACTAGGGAGCCGTTTTCTGGATTCGAATCCCAACATTTACTAGCTGAGCATCTCTGGCCTTCTTTATGTCTTAATTTTCTCATCTTTAAAATTGAAGGTAATAAAAG